GTTATTTTTGGAATTCCTTTGGGGAATGCAGTACATATGGTGTGGATAATGGTAGTCCACAGTGCATAAGCAGATCCAAGGGCTCAGTTTTATCGCGGATCCATGGCCTTGGGGCTTTTTCTTTTGTACATGGGATAAAAAAAAGAATTTGTCTATCTAGTGGAATGCCCAGAGGGCTGCTGAACGCCTGCCCAGTACCTTAGAGTCATTCTAAGGGAGTTCAAGCACTGGTTTTTTGCGAATGAAATGCAGTCCAAGGCAAAATGGAACAAATTTGTAACAATTGTCAATAATTATGGTTAAGAGCAATGTGAAGGCTAGAAATATGGTTAGGAGCAATTTGAAAAATATGATTGTGCTTGTGAGGATGATGTGAAAAAAAAGTCATAGTTGAGTGTCGAAATATAATTTTTTAAAAAATAAAAGGGCCTATGTTTATTTTTTGCGGTACATAAAAATGGATATATGTCAAGATTCCATTGCACTTACGTCATTGAGGTTGAAACTCTAATGTTTTGGGAGTTAAAAAGTACGGTCTGTGAGTTGAAAAACAAGTTCAGTCTCGCTAAGCTAAACTATTGTATTGTAGTTACGTAGATTCAAACTCAAGTACTTGAATTTTTATTCATCCAACCAACCTGTCAGTGGTAAATGGCAAAGTTTAGAGACTTAGAGTAATATTATATAAAAGTATATTATCTTTTAGATAAATAAATTTCATCAATTTTTTTTATAAGACGTATTTATTAAACGTTCATTCAAAAGATACGTATTTGTGCTATAATGTTTTAAATTTTATTTTGTACGTAAAGCATTTTCCCTGGACTAATAATAAATATACGCCGCGTCACATTATATAATAAATATGCTTTTACTAGCCGTCTATAATCTATCTAGTAGAGTCCAGCTAGCGAAGATATATATAAGGGTAAATTATACTTACACACATTAAACTATTATTTTTTTTTACTTTATCCTCTCAATTACCAAATTTCTTATATTATACCCTCAATTATGTCACTAATTTTACATTGCCTCACTTATTAATGTTCATTATATATTCAACAAAAACTTATTTTATTTTTTTCCTTAAACTATGTAATTTTTTTTTTACTTTACCCAGACATGTCTGCAATTTCAGTTCAAAAAGATAACAAACGTTTGCAATTGGGATAATGTGAAATACAAGTATTAGTTGGGGTATAATGTGAGAAATTTGATAGTTTAGAGGACAAAGTGAAAAAGGGTGATAATTTGGGGGGTGTAAGTGTAATTTAAATCATATGTATAATGCTCAGGGCAGGCCAAGTAACTGAAGAACCACCCACCGACTTCGTCCATGGCGAAAGCAATATAACGGAATGCATGCCTCCATGTCATCTTACTCTCTGAACCATAAACGACTGGCGATCATCGAATCCCTCACCTCACCTCTTACATGGAGTTCCTGATACTCTCCACAACCGACCTGTTCCATTCTCATCATTTGTTTGTCTTCCAATCTCTCTCTCGATAATATATATCTCTGCGTTTATTTGAAAGTTTTTGTTTATCATCAACAGGATGTTCGTCTAGGTAATCATGGAATGCAATCGCTGGCGATTTATCAATGATTTTCGTGTTCTAGTACTGATACTCCTACTGCGACTTTCAATCAAGAATATTCTGCGTCAAACGGATCTGCGGAAGCTGATTCTGGAGTAGGAGAGAAGTCTCACGAATCACATTGGACTGCCGACCAAGAGAAACCTGCTACATGCGCGGTATATTGCTACCTCTCTCTCTCTCTCTCTCTCGTGTTGGATTTTGAACAGATTACGTTTTGGTGTGTTCAATTCACTGTCGCTTGAAATTTGGCTGTGTATACAGTGAACAAGTTAAGCTGATTTGTCCTGTGTATAGTTTTGTGATTGTTACTCATGTTGAACCACGACAGATTTGTGCACAATGCATTGTTTTCTGTTGCAATTTCTTCTTCAGAAGGCTTGGACAAATACTAATTGGGGGATTTGAACAATTATGGCCTAGAAATAACTTACTAAATCTCGTGAATTTTTCATTGGCGTCACTTTGAGTTTCAAGCAGTTTCCACCTGAAAAATCATTTCTAGACGTATATTTTAAAATATCATCATAAGAGGAACCGTATCTCCATTATCTTGGACTGTTTAATTTGAAATGAGCATTGCTTGTTGAAGTATACGAAATAGTAAACGATGTATGGGCCTCTATTAGAAAGTAGAATAATTAGCGTTTGATATCTACTACACAATAGCGGCGTTACTCATGGAACCCTTTCACAAATTTGTGTTCTGTACGAAACCTTTAACTTTTGCGTGATTTTGTTGTTAACATGTCATTTGATTTCAATACATGTGATTCTCTGGCAATTAATATCACAATTTTCCTGTCTTTTCTCATATGTTGGACTATCTACTTGTGTATGCCACGTTTATATGTTGTGGATTCACCGTTTCTTTTGCTTTCTATGTGTTTGACTAAGAACTGAAGGACATATGGCCTACTACTTTTATGTCTGACTACCGTCTTTCTAATATATCCTTGTACAAGGCAAAGAGCATATTTCTCTGAGCTCAGTTTTGTTCTTCGGTTTTGTATTTGTCTCTCAATTTTTTTCCTTCATCAGTTTGTAGTTATATTTCCAGATTTTTTAAATTCACTTACTTGTTTTTTGTGTTATATTACTTTTCAATATTGCTTTTGCAAGTCATTTAGAGTACAATTGTCAGTATATTTGAAATGCTCCCACATTTGTTGTAGTCTTCTTTAGAGTTCCACCATTTTTGCAAACCATTACGCTATTTGCCATATGCATTTTGAGCATGTAATGTCATTGGGACCAGTTCATACAACTAGTCATTACTAAAACATTAATTGATTTAATTGCCTTTGCAGCCCGTTTCTTGGTTGAGTTTTCTTTTGCTGATTGCCACTGGAGCGGGACTGATCTTCTACCATAACAAAGATTGCACACAGAAGATAGGTTACTATGGTGAGTAGGGTATTTGTAGGTTCACCTGGAGGATCTGATATGCATCGATCCTTTTGAGTAACCCTTCTGATTTTTTCTGTCCTTTCAGTTCCATTCAGATGGTTTAGAAATAATCTTGTTTTGATTCATTTAGTGTAAAAAGGAGTTGAAGGCACTATTAGGGTGAATTTAGCCACATGCTGTCTCAAAAACCGGTAGTGGTAAATTGCATTGCCCAAGGCCTTGAGAGGGCTACTTGGATATAGCTGCTATGCCTATGTTTTGTTTCCGTTGGTTGAATATCTTATTAGGTTTGCTCATGTGTGTGTTAGTTAGTTATGCCTTCTTTTTCAACATAATTTGATGCTTATACACATCAAGGTTAATATGTTATGCTTTCCCAATTTAACCGATTGATAAGTCAAGGAGTAGCAGATTCTGAAGGCGTAAGATATGCCTTCTTGCTGTCAAGGAGTCTGTTATGCCTTCTTTTTCATCTCTAGAACATAAGTTCGTTAATGAATTGTAGTTTATGTTGATAAAAGTGAGACTACCTCTCCTTGGGGATTATAGTGCTTGTGTAAAGGTATTCTCTTGTGTAAGTAAATCCTGTTATACCCGTTGTTTTCAGGGAATTTCTATTGTTGTTTCCATTATTCAGTGCTGATTGATACTCCATTGCTGCAGAAATCAGCAACGGCTCAAATGCTATAAAACAGAGACCCTCTGCGGCAAGTAGCCACTGGGGGTCCACTCAACCTTGTCAACCATAACGGGAATTTTCATAACGGAAGATTTTACAGGAAGATGAACTTTGATTTATTTTTGCTTCACTCACTGCCCTGATATCTGCCCAGATGAGCTACAGAAGTTAGCTGCTGCAGTTGACAGTATAAGTAATTGAAGCATGAATTCCGAACCCTTCAGCCTCAATGACTTACTAAAGAAAGAAATCCAGTTATTATATTTTAGGGTCTGACAAATTTGATGATTCATGCAGGAACTCGATGGATCCGAACATGGAATTCGTAATTTTTTTGGGAAGAACAATAACGTCCACATGCTTGCTGATGGTAAGCATAATCTGCCCAAAAGACATCTATTTGATCTGGAGAACTCTTTTCCACCAAGCAGTTTCAGTTTCCTCTAATGTCTTTAGAGACGATTTGTAGAAATGGTGTGAGGTTCTATTTCACGCTGGGAGAAAATTTTTAGTCGTATGCTGTTTTGTAGTAGTAATATATAGGCAATAATCGAATAGCTATACTCGTTCATTCTGACTCCTGAATTAAACGGGTGTCAATGCCTGAATTTATATCAGAGGCTTGAAAATCAATCCCAGTATGCATAAGCTTCCCCTCTTGATGTTGTACTGCACATATTGACAATAATAAATGTAGATTTTCTGGAAGAAGCGTCACACCTGATTTGCACACTTTCATAAACACTACCAGAACACAAAGAAATAAAGCTGCTAAAAGTCTCATAACGTGCGGAACATGTTGGGTACCAACGACAACAAAAAAAAAAAAATCTGGGAAGATAGATATTTTCCATTCTTATGTGGACATAACAATGTAAAATTTGACAGAACCAACTGCAATAGCACAAAACTCATCGTACGAACACTCAAGTTGTGCTAGCTTATTTGCTTATATATTGGGATGTATTAGCTTCTATAGGCCATATTCTGGATTCATGCTCTTCCTGAGATCCAGAAGATCTCAATCTTACAGCTCAATTTACACGTGACCAGTTGCCCTTGGTGCTTCATTGACGTTTAGCCTTATGTGCGAAGCCAATTTTCAGCATATGGGCACAGGTGGTGTATGATTTCTGGCTGTAGATAAACAGGTGGAAATGTAAAGCACTTCACCTGCAACTGATGCGTACTCTTAGAGAAATGGACTTTTGGTAATCAATTAAAAGAAGAAACCACAAGAGACTCTGATGCACCTCTGGGAACATGATGGAAGTTCAAGCCTGCAAAAATGCATTTCCTAAGAACACTATGTCTCAATGTGTCGAGGAAATACAGCTTTGCCTAGATAAACTTGTTGCATCTCCTCTCGCCATATCTGCAGCAATAAGTCACATTCATCAATTCTTATTCTGCCAGGCTTCATTTGTTTCTACAGAAAATTATATATTTTATTGGGAGACCAAGTACCAGCGTGTCAGCCAAGAGAAAACTCAGCAAGGAAATTCGGGTCAAGAGCCGATATTTACACAGGAGGCTGACCTTAGATTTCGGAGATTAGAGTAGAACTCCGTTAGCAGTGGAGAAGGGTTTTGCCTTGAATCCAAACCATTTCTCGTCTTCTCTTTATGATATTTTTAATTAGGACTTGATCAAGGGATCAATGACGTTTAAGAAGGATCAACCCTTCAGATTTTGTAGTTCTTGGCCTCTATTTTACATATCATATGCATGTTTGGGTAGCTTCTGAGAGGCTGCATGGCACAACAGAGCTTTGCGACTATGCTATTCTTAGCATATGTGTTGATCTGTTCTAATTTTAGTTGATTGCTCATCGAATTATTTGACCATGACATAAATGGGATATAAGCAGAGACAACAAAAGCAGGGTCCACTTCTCTTTATTCTCTATAGTTTGTAGTCTATCACGTATCTTTCTTTCTCAAGTGGCTATATGGGTGCATTCTAGATTTATTCCTCAATCTAGTTTTCCCTATACATAATTGTGCAATCAAAATAAACTTAAATTCCAAGAGAAAAAAATATATAATTATACATGAAAGCTTCTAGAATCAAGAACATACCGTATCACGGAATTCCAGTCTGATATGAGGCACATTTGTCCTGTGAATATCATTTCCATCCGGTCCTCTTATGTAGTATTCCTTCCCAACCCAGTGTGACTAAGAACGACAAATTTCATATCAGAGACAACAGCTTCACATAGGTAAAGCACAAAAAGAAATCATATATATTCAGAAAAAGGATCATTTAACATGCAAATGCCGGGCAATTGGACATGAAAACATTAATACAAAACAGATTCCACAAAAAATTACTATTGAAACTCAATAATTTTAGTTAACAGAGGAGTAACCCAATAAGGCGGCGGCCCAGGATTTCCATATTACAGAGTCTAGAAAGGGTCAGATGCACGCACACACCCCTCCCGCGCGGGTTGGGACAAGTGGAGAGGTTGTTTTCTTGATTGGATAATACCCAGGTCCCAACAACGGCTCCACTGCAGTGACTCTATCATAGTGACAAGATCACAACAATGCAGCCATTGTTGAACCTTGCCATTGCCATTGATTTGATTCGAATTTTGTAATTGAACCTTGTCAGCCCATTTGATGAGCTCAGTTAAATCCTTTCATTATCTTCGATGGATCATCTGGCCTAATTTCAACGGGCAGGGTTTCTTCCAAAACTTAACTCAAAGCAACAAAACGAATATGACCTCAAATACTTAAGATCCACATATGGGAAGGATCACTTTCCACTAGGGGTGCAACTCGGGCGGGTTGGACAATCAACCCTAGCCCAACCCTAGATATATAATTTTCAACCCTAATCCTAACCCTAACCATACCTCGGGTTAGGGAACTCAACCCGAGCACTGCCCGAGTTTAATTCGGGCGGACTCGCGTTGAATTCGGGTTAATGATTTCAAGCTGATTTCGTGTTACTTTACGGGTCCAATTCGGATTCAATTCGGATAGAGCCCAAAATAGGCTTGTTGTTCTAAACCTAATACATATATTACATAATATTCACCTAAATTAACAACCAATAACTTCAACTAAGTTTTTAACAAGAGAAGCTGAGAGAACGAGACAGACAAAGAACGATAGAACAAAAATGAAAAAACAGTGCTAATGCTTTAATTTTATATATATATATATATATATATATATAGATATATTTTTTTTTTATTTTTTTTTTTTTAATTTGTCGGATTCGGGTTGAACTCGGGTTCACGAGGCTTTAACCCGAGCCCAACCCAAATTGAATTCGGATTAGGGTTTTTTGACCCAAACCCAACCCAAGTTTTAAAAACCCTTACCCAACCCGAAATCAGGTTGCCCAACCCAAGTTGCACCCCTACTTTCCACGGAAGTTGTCCTATTTAAATAAGTAGGCCAGGCAACGGGCACAAACAATGACAATCATATCCTTCTGTAAATCCAATTCTTTATGCCTCTGAAATGTAGTATTCCTTAAATATGTCAGGCACCAGCCTGTACCGCCCTGGAAAGAGAGGATTGGAGCAAACCATGCACCTAGTGAACACAAACTGGAAGAGAGTTTCAGGTCACTCTATGCTGGTTTCGGAACCCCAACCCAACTCTTTCAATTGCTCACACCAGATCGTGGAAATTTCCTAGACCAACAGCAAATTCGGTAACTTCAACTCACTACAATATACCTTCAGAGCATGTGAGAAGCCTGATTGGTAGACTGAGTTACGAGCAATCTCGCACAGATCACAGGAACTTAACTTCCAAACCTGCAAGACATAAGAGTTGCTCTTAAACTTGATAACATCTTCATATGTTTACTGCAGACTAACACAAGCGAAATGATACTCACAGAAGCAGCTATACTATACTCTTCCACCAGGGGCTCTTTTGTTAAGTGGATTTGTAAAGGATCATCAGTAGACAGGGAAACATTGAGGCCCCGTAGGAAAAACATAGGAAAAGGGTTCCGATGGTAGTCTAAAAATAAGGAATTGTTGCTCAGAGGAGACATAGCCAGACCAATCTGATAGCCAACAAGCCATCAGAAATGCATCAGCCATATAACAAATGCAATTACATCAACAGAAAATAACTCTCCCCTGCCATATTACCTGGGCCAGGTAGTACAAATATTGTAATACAGGAGATTTCCTCAGATTAATTCCATGTGCAATATTATGAGCTATAAGAAATGTTGCAGCAAGGTGGTCAATATCACCCGCCTGAATATAATAGCATCACATTAGTCATGCACACAATTTGCTCATAAGTATCAGATTAATAAATTAAACTTCCAATAATACCTCCCCTGAATGAGGGCGGAATTTGATAGTTGTCATGCCCTTCGACTCGCGGAGCTGAGATGTAACACAAAACGGTCAAAATCCCAGGCATTTAGATTATAGCACAAGAAACAAATGAATAGGCATCCATATGAAAATAACTCTTTCTGTTTTACATATAAAAATGCAAGACAAAAGAATAAAATGCATTTAAAAAACTTCCTTAGATAACCATTCTAATTATATTTCTTTTTTATATTTCCCTTCTTCCAAAAAACAAACCAAGAGTAACATTTACCAATTTCTTTCTTAAGAAAGTAAGTTACCAAGCACCGTTAGAACAAGCAACCAAAATGATCAATGGAAAACACCTAAACCAGTCTAAGAATGAAGATACATCTGAGTAAAGCTAAAGCCAATGCTGCCACTGAAATAACTATTACTACTTCTCAAATACAATGAGTAAGACCTGCAACTCAAATTTAAACGATGAAAGCAGTGAATATCAATGTACAAAAAGTCAAAAACTTCATTTTCGAGGAGGACCTCAGTCTTGCAATGGGTTTTTTATTATTCTCTTTTGCCTTTTTCTCCAGTTGCTCTCTATACATACATATACAGATAGAGGAGGAGGAGTCCACAAATGATACTTCCACATGCTAGCCATGTATAAAGAGGATTACAGGTTTGTACTCAACGAAACTAAACGCACCTTGTTCAGGGTGTGGAGGTTAGCATAACAATAGTATGCATAATATGAAAATGCAGGATTGAATATATTGATCCATTGAGCTGGAGTTGGCATGTGTTTTGTAGGGCGTCTTTCAGGCTTGCTTTCGTCATCCACCAAGTCCAACCCAACAACCTGTAAACCAAGCAGGCAACAAGGAAAAATAACAGAAAATTTGTATTCTTATGGATTGTTAAGAATAATAGAGTAGTAGTATGTGTAAATTGTTAATAGTAAAAGAGATGTATGTGTTATTATTATTATTGTAAGTTAACTATAAATACAAGTTATGTATGAGAGCTAGGTTAAGTTTTCTAACCTCTCCCTTTCTCCCTAATATTGCCTCTAATATTGTGTTATATTAATTCTCTTAACTTAATATGGTATCAAAGCATTAATCTTGGTGTTGTTACTGTTGATGGTAGTCGATCGGTGTAATGCTCATCGATTTTTTTTTTATTTGGTTGTGGCTTGTGGTAGTCCATCGGTGTGGTCGACTGGTGGTAGTCGATGGTGTGCTGCTGTTCGGCGTCATGGTGGTGTTCAACAGCGACGACGGTGGTGGCTTGTGGTAGTCGATTGGTGTGGTTGACGTTGGTGGTAGTCGACTGGTGGTAGTTGACGGTGTGCTGCTGTTCGGCGTTGTGGTGGTGTTCAACAGTGAAGGCAGTCGACTGTCTTCGTGGTGGCGATTGTTCGTCGTGGTGTAGTCGCCTATCTTCGTGGTGGTCTGTGGAGGTGTTTTGGTGGTGTCCGGTGTTGTGGTGTGATGGTGTTCGGTGCTGTGGTGGTGTTCAACAGTGAAAGCATAGGGTTTGGTAGAAACCCTAACCAACGAAGGAGAAGATCTGTTCCAGCCAGACTGGTCCGGACAAAACCGGTCCAGACCCGTTTCAGTTTGGTTCAGCTTTCAAGTGGGCTTCTCCTGTCCAGTTCAGTCATGCAACACTTCTTATTTGCTATCTGCTTTGCTATTTGCTGCATTATTATGGAACCTAAAAATCCTGTGTTGCCTCCTCCTACTCTTATCACTGGTCCCATGACTTCTGTCAAACTCAATGGGACTAATTATACTTTATGGTCACGATCTATTCAAGTCTTTCTTCGAGGAAAAGGATTTAAGAAATATCTGGTGGGTTCTAAACCCAAGGAGGACACTCCGGAGTATGATCAGTGGGAACAAGAGGATGCTCAGATTATTTCTTTATTGTTGAATAGCATAGAGCCCAATATTAGCTCCTCTCTACTCTATCTTGATACTACCAAAGAGATATGGGATCACTTGGCCACTATGTATTCTAGTACAGGTAATTTTACCCGTGCGTATGAGGTGTGCAAGGAGTACTTCCGGTTGGTGCAGAGTACTCTGAGCCTTGCGGATTATTACTCTCATGTTCGGGGAGTCTGTGAGAAGATGAAAACTTACCATCCATTTACTACTAATGCAGCAGTTTGGCAAAAGCAACATGAGGACCTAAATGTTGTTCGTTTTTTTGTTGGATTGAAACCTAAATATGAGGCTATTCGTTCTCAGATTTTGGGTGGATCTAGTCTTCCATCACTGCTGGAGGTTTTCTCTCGTTTACAGCGTGCTACACTATCTACTACCTCAGTAATTGATCATGGTGCCTACACTGATCGCTCAGCTCTTGTAGTTCCTAATAACCATAGTAATTGTCATCGAGGTGGTCGTGTTGGTCGCGGAGGTCGTACAGGAGGTCATACGGGTGGTCGTAATGGATCTCGTTCTTGTACTCACTGTCGCCGTGGAGGACACACTGTTGATTTCTGTTGGGATTTATATGGAAAACCCTCTGGTACTGCTAATCAGGCTTCTTATCAGGACGACACCTTGATTGTTGTTTCCATACCTCGGTCAGCTCCACCAGACACTGGGTCAGTTACTATTACACTGGGTCGAGAGGAGTATGCTCAGTTCCTATCCCAGCAACAAGCTGTTTCATTTCCCTCCACTGCTACTTTTGCCCAGTCAGGTACTGCTTCCACATGTTTAATGTCCTCCACCCGTAGCCCTTAGATCATAGATTCTGGTGCCTCTGGCCACATGACTGGTGCGTCTGACGTTTTCTCTACTTATCAGTCTGTTATTTCTGCACGTAGTGTTACTCTTGCTAATGGTATTTGTTCTAAAGTTTCAGGTCTGGGGACTACTCACTTGAGTTCTGACATGTCCCTATCTTCCGTGTTATTTGTTCCTCAATTTTCTTTTAGTTTACTTTCTATTAGCAAGATTACTCGTTCTCTCAATTGTTCGGTAATTTTTTATCCCTCTTATTGTGTCTTTCAGGACGACACCTTGATTGTTGCTTCCATACCTCGGTCAGCTCCACCAGACACTGGGTCAGTTACTATTACACAGGGTCGAGAGGAGTATGCTCAGTTCCTATCCCAGCAACAAGCTGTTTCATTTCCCTCCACTGCTACTTTTGCCCAGTCAGGTACTGCTTCCACATGTTTAATGTCCTCCACCCGTAGCCCTTAGATCATAGATTCTGGTGCCTCTGGCCACATGACTGGTGCGTCTGACGTTTTCTCTACTTATCAGTCTGTTATTTCTGCACGTAGTGTTACTCTTGCTAATGGTATTTGTTCTAAAGTTTCAGGTCTGGGGACTACTCACTTGAGTTCTGACATGTCCCTATCTTCCGTGTTATTTGTTCCTCAATTTTCTTTTAGTTTACTTTCTATTAGCAAGATTACTCGTTCTCGCAATTGTTCGGTAATTTTTTATCCCTCTTATTGTGTCTTTCAGGCTCTCAAGACGAAGAGGAGGATTGGTACGGGACATGAAGCTGGTGACCTATATTACCTTGACTTTGATTCATCTACCCGAGCTTTACAGACCTCGTTGTCTCCTTTTCAATGGCATTGTCGTCTTGGACATCCTTCTCTCCAGAATCTAAAGCGTCAAGTTCTTAGTCTTAGTTATGTGTCGTCTTTGTCTTGTGAAGCTTGTCAACTTAGTAAGCATCACCGTGTGTCTAGTCCATTTGAATTAGTTCATTCTGATGTATGGGGTCCAATAAAGAATATTTCATCTAATAAATATCCTTATTTTGTGACATTTGTGGATGACTATACCCGTGTGACTTGGTTATTTTTGATGAAAGCTCGGTCTGAATTATTCTCTATATTTGAGACTTTTCGTAAAGAAATAAAAACTCAGTTTGGTTGTCGTATACGTACTTTACGTTCCGATAATGCTCGTGAATATGAATCTGATCCTTTTTCAGCTTATCTTAGAAAAACTGGCATTATTCATCAGACTTCTTATGCTTACACCTCTCCACAAAATGGTGTTGCTGAACGAAAGAACCGCTATTTGTTGGAAGTCACCCATGCCTTGTTATTCCAGATGAATGTTCCTCGATATCATTGGAGTGATGTTGTTCTTACTTCTTGTCATCTTATTAACCGTATGCCCTCCTCTGTGTTAAATGAACAAAGTCCATACTCTATTTTGTTTCCTAGTAAGCTCTTATTTTCCCTTTCTCCTAAGATTTTTGGTTGTGTCTGTTATGTTCACAATTTGGGTCCTGAATTTGACACACTTGATCCTCGGGCTACCAAATGTGTTTTTCTTGGTTACTCTCGCACGCAGAAGGGGTATTGTTGCTACAGTCCTTCTCTGCACCGATATTTTACTAGTGTGGATGTCACATTTGAAGAATCTGTTTCATACTTTCCAGCACCCTCTCAGCCTTTGGATCTGGACTTTGGCTCCTCTTCTATACCACCATCAGATATTCCGCTGCCCACTGTGTTACCACCTACTTTACCTCTCCGTGTCTATTCTCGCCGTCCTCACCCATTGACTGAAGTACCCCGTACCGTCTTCCTTGTCGCCTTCTGATCCAGGAACATCAGATAATTTAGATTTTTTACCCATTGCTCTTCGCAAAGGTACTCGTTCGTGTGTTACTAATCATCCTATTTCTCATTTTGTTTCATATGATGCCTTGTCACCTGTCTTCTCCAGTCTTACTTCCCAATTATCTGCTATATCTATTCCTAAGCATTTACAGGATGCATTATCTGATCCGGGTTGGAGGAAAGCTATGAAGGAGGAGGTGGATGTCTTACATCATAATGGAACTTGGGATCTCGTCCCTTTACCCTCTGGTAAACGAACTGTTGGATGTCGTTGGGTGTATGCTGTTAAATTTCATCCAGATGGTTCTGTAGAGCGTCTCAAAGCCCGACTTGTTGCAAAGGGCTTCACTTAGACTTATGGTGTTGATTATGAGGAGACTTTTTCTCCTGTTGCTAAAATTTCCTCTGTTCGTATCTTGATTTCTTTGGCTGCTAATCTTGACTGGCCCTTGTTTCAGTTAGATGTCAAGAATGTCTTCTTACATGATGATTTGATTGAAGAGGTCTACATGGAGCAACCACCCGGGTTTACTGCTCAGGGGGAGTCTGGTAAGAGTGTTTGTCGGTTAAAAAAATCTTTGTATGGTTTAAAGCAGTCACCGAGGGCATGGTTTGATAAGTTTTTAGATGCAGTTTTAGAGTTTGGTCTTCTTCGATGTCAAACAGATCATTCTGTGTTTCATAGACAGACAGATGTTGGGTATGTCCTATTGGTGGTCTATGTCGATGATATTGTGATTACTAGAAATAATTCTGAGGGGATTGTCAAGTTAAAATTATTTTTACAGGATCGATTTCATACTAAGGATTTGGGAAAACTTTGGTATTTTTTGGGTATTGAGGTGGCTCGATCTAAACAGGGTATTTGTTTATCTCAGAGAAAATATGTACTTGACATGCTCGAGGAAGCAGGTTTGCTGGGTGGTAGACCGATTGATGTCCCTATGGATCCAAATCAGAAATTATTGATGGATGATGGTGTATTATTTGAAAATCCGGGTCGGTATCGCAGATTGGTTGGGAAGCTTAATTATCTCACTATTACTCGACCGGATATTTCCTATGCAGTCAGTATAGTAAGTTAATTCATGGGATGTCCTAGAGTACCACATTGGGAGGCAGTTACTCGTATTCTGCAATATGTCAAACAAGCTCCAGGACTTGGACTGTTATATCGAGCTAATAGACATCTTAGAGTGGAAGGTTTCTCAGATGCTGATTGGGCTGGATCTCCTTCTGATCGGAGATCAACCACTGGTTATTGTACTTTCCTAGGCGGTAATATTGTCTCATGGAAAAGTAAGAAACAACCCGTGATAGCAAGATCCAGTGCTGAAGCTGAGTATAGGGCAATGGCACATACGATAAGTGAGTTGACTTGGCTACTACACTTCCTCCAGGAAATTGGTTTTTCAGTTCAACTTCCTTTACAGTTGTTCTGTGACAACCAGGCAGCTATCCATATCGCTGTCAATCCTGTGTTTCATGAAAGAACTAAGCATATTGAGGTTGACTGTCACTTTATTCGGGACAAGATAGTAGCCGGGGAGATTACAACTCCATTTGTGAAATCTGAAGATCAGCTTGCAGATATGTTTACCAAAGCATTGAGTCGTACGCGTCTTACAACTATTTGTTCCAATCTTGGATTATATGATATATATAGTCCAACTTGACGGGAAGTGTTAAGAATAACAGAGTAGTAGTATGTGTAAATTGTTAATAGTAAAAGGGATGTATGTGTTATTATTATTATTGTAAGTTAACTATAAATACAAGTTATGTATGAGAGCTAGGTTAAGTTTTCTAACCTCTCTCTTTCTCCCTAATATTGCCTCTAATATTGTGTAATATTAATTCTCTTAACTAAACATGGATAAAAGAAACTAAAATAACAACAATGAATTAGGAGAGATACATATTTACCTGGTGTAAGATTAAATAGTCTCACACCCCTCAATAAAGCAACAAAAGCTCAGGAGTATAAAATCTAATGGTGGGTTTTGAAAAATGTGACTCCTACACAATTACTGAGAAATAAACGACTAAAAAGGCTTATACCATGTGTACAACAATTTCTCCTAAATTAAAATTCAACCACCATGTGGCTAGCATAATGAAAAGATCCATAAATGAGAGAACACACACCTGTTTCAAGAAAACATGCAACTGAGGATGTGAATCTGGATCAACTGTGACTTCAAACAGAGGAAGAAATATATTGTCAAGAATATTCTGGAATGATGTAACAATTCCCATCTCCTTGTACACATTGTACAGTCGTGGAAGCTGCAAAAAAAGAGGAGATTGCAAAGTAAGGACTCAATATTCAATCTATATTGCTATCTTACACAAGAAGCTTCATGGTACTTCACATTCCAAGATTATAGGAATGTCCGCCTCTCAAATTGGGAGCAACAGACCTCAGGTTTGAGATAACTCTGTAAAGGCCTTTTTATGCCTAACCAGATAAAATGTTGATATTAGCCGTTTATTGAAAACACGACAGCCACAGGTCAGCAGTCATAACTCATCATGCCTCCAAAAACCTTGAAGAATCATTATGAAGGTGCAAGCCAATCCATTATTAATGATATCTATGACAAATCTAACAAAATGTGGCATTATGTGAGCTCTCTTGTTTTTCTCCATCATAATATCTTTGAGGAATGTAATTTCTAGGTTTTCTCGTATATATGCTAGTAATCATGAGTCATGACAATCCAAAATGAGATAGAAACTAATCAGCACCTGAATCAACCAGACAACATTCTCACTGTACAACTCATTATTGACTATCCAACTAGCCATTTGGTCCCACTCACTTTGCTTTCTACCATATATTGATACCCTGTATTCAGCCATCTGTAGCACCAAACAGAATTGGATATTAGACAATTTTAAACAATAAAAAGGTAAATAACCAAATGGAAGTCAGGAACACAGGCTGCTGAGGGCAAGGAGGGAGGGGGGCAAGCATTTGAAGACAAATTAAATACCCAAGTTCCGAAAGCATACTTATCAAAAACAGTAGAGAGAGAACATAAATGCAAGTACTGATCAATGATCAAAATATCGTTTCGATATATTGTTTCAGTCATTTAAGAAATGGAAACGTTCCTACGTGTTATGGAAATGTTTTGACCCGTTTCAGAAACATAATGAAAAAAATAAAAAATTTAGGACTTGTTTGGTAGCGTTTACGATTTTTAATTTTCTAAAAAACGAAAAAACAGAATCAAAAAACGAAAAATATTTTTTTCTCGTTTTTGAAAATCGTCTCTCGTTTACAAAACGATGATAGAAAAAAAAATAAAAACGGTTATCAAATGAGTTTTTTTTCTTATTTTCTCTAAATATCAAAATAAAAACGAAAAACATAAACGTTACCAAACGGAACCTTAAGAATTATTTTTTCAAAAAATTGATCAAATTATACTAAAATATCTTGAAATATTCCGAAACAATTGTGCAAATGTATTGAAGCATTACAAAATACCTCGAAACATTATGAAAGACCTCAAATTATTATAATTTCAATTTCATCACCGATTCATTTTGGTTTCCTTGGAAACAAAAACGTTTCAGGCGTTTCGACTGTTTTGAAACGAAATTTTAATCCTTGATACTGGTATGAGAAACTTCCAACTAAAGAAATCGCTAAATCAGTTAATGACTTAATCATAATGAGCTTGAACACGACACATATGTAGATCACCAAAGAAGTAAAAGACAGAAATCTTTAAGAAAATGGAGAAGCTTTCAACAACTCATAAAAAAGTGTGACAACCCTGAGAAAAATTGAACAAATGTAACTGCAAAGTCAAATTGCCTCATCTCACAAGCTTTTATCAGTACAATCATCGAAACATAGGTCAAGAAATTGGAGAGCTTCAAATGTCCAATAGAACCCATGATATGATGCTTAATAAATTGTCCGCGAAATTTTTTTATCATATCACAAATCACAAGTGAAAAATACTAACGATAAGTTAACTACTTACTTTTATATTAATATGATTTCCATGTCAAACTTAGAGATCACAATACATCTACACCATATGAATAAAAGTAGTGTAAGGTTTAAGCATTTTAAACAATATCAGTTTTACATTTTGTTTGGCTGGACAAAAATAGCCTTCTTCAAGTGTTCAAATTATTTGATAAGGCAATGAAGAACCCAAATCATGGATATGGGTGCTCAACATTCTAACTATCCAAATAAGCAAACAAATGAAGATAAGCAAGAAGTCTTCATAAAACTCAAGAAATTGATAGCAAAAAAATCTAAAGTCAAGATAACAATAGCATACTTGATATTTGCTCGCAGCAAGGTCTGTGAACACTTGCTTCGTCAGCTCAGCAAGGAAACGACCTGTTGGACCATAGATGATGATTAAATCACAGTTATGATAAAAGTACAAATGAAATACATCATTACTGTTGACATTAGAATTTGTAAAACATAATAGAATAGTCGATGCATTATATCAAACTACCAGTGCCTATTCATCCAATTTAAAATGGAAATAGCTAAGATGCAAAGCATTTGTCAGAACACCAATAAACTACAGGAATGAGAAGAGAAACAGACCAGAACATACCCTGGATAAGATTATCCTGCTTCAAGAAAATTTCCCGCAACCTACTTTGACCACAAGGATTATACTTCAGGTTGAACTTGTCAAAGCGATGAAAGGTGCTCTTGTCAGCATGAACATCTAGAAGGTCAACATTCAGGTCATTCCTGTATAAATGTGAACAGGTGTCACAATGAGTCAAACCAAAACATGCACAAAGGATGAAAATCATGATGATAATACCCTCTTGACAAGGGCACAGTTCTCTTGAACTGACTGAGAAGATAATTTAAATTACCCGGTCAAATCCAAGCTCTCAAAAACCTCCTTCAAGGTCAGATATGTTCCATCTCGAAATATAACAACCTGTATAGAAGAAGACAGCCAAGACTTTAGCAAAATGGCAAAACACATCATCCTTTGAAAGGGTTTTCTAGCCATAAGTTCATAACAATGATTCACCTAAATTCTGAAAGTTTCAAATTAGGTGATTGTCAGCATAGCTATTATGCAGTTTTATATTCTCCGTCGTTCAAAACTCAAATGCTTACCTCATCGGGCTCCTTCCTCAACTTCGATTTAATGAATCTCAGAAGATGTTTCTGGTTCATGCATGCTGAGTGATGAACGTGTGTGTCAACTTTTCTGACATTATAGAAGTCACGATGTGGTGCACTTTTCTGAGCTAGGAACTCTCTATCAGCATTAAGCATCAAATGAAGATTGAATTTCTGAATGCATGTTCAAATAAGCATTATATCACGACGTTGTTATGATTTCTCAAACATAGAGACTTAGCATAATACTCATTCCTAATAAACAAACATTGACAGAAAAGTATCTACTTGTTCCAGCAGAACTAGCCGATGATGGCATAAAGTTCGTATATTCCCAGCCGCTATTACTTTAAGGATGTGATGCAGATCAGTGAAAAAAGTCGTTGCATCAGCAACAGGAAAAAGTCTCTCTTTTGCTGGGGGAAAAAAACAAAAAGGAGAAAATGATTATAAAGCACAAACAAACACTCGACAGCAAAACCAGTAGCTGAATCATATATGAACATGAAAGGGTACAACAATCAAAATTCTTACAATCTTTGTTTGCATAAACATGGACAACTCCATCTTCCATTTGAAAATAATGCTGCACGACATATTGATGTGTCATCAACCAGAATGTAATCATGGAATAAAACTTGTTAAATTGTGGCCCAAAATTCATAAAGGCACCAACAAGGCAACAAAGAATTAAAAGTGTAAACTCAGAAAAAGAAAAGCACAGACTCACGTCAGATTTTCCCCCAGGAGTATAATCAAATGGATTTGGGTTAGGCTTCGGTGTACTAGGATCGGATATAACTTCTTTCTCCCATGAAGCTGCTCCTTCCTTGAATACATAACTCTTCCGCATTTCAAGGCAGACTTGCAGAGCCCGATAGACCTCTACTTCATCAGCAGATGGTACCTCTGATAATAATTACAAGGAGAAGTCAAACAACCAAAACTCTGGCCTCACTGTGCAACTTCATATCCAGGCAGAACCTTATAACTTTCACTTACAGGAACAGAACATGTGCAAACTTGGATTTCAAAAGAAGGCTTACCCACGAACAACAATATTAGATACACTATTCTGATAATTGCTTTATGTTGGCTAAATTTTATGAAGGAATGTGACACAATATTATTTTTTTAAAATATTAATCCTAATTCAAATCCAATGGCTAGGTCATTCATTTTTTTTATTTCGGCTAATTAGAAAGGTATTTGAACCTCTCAGAGCACCCTTACAATCCTCCTGCACACATGAATTGCACCTCCCCCAACCCATCTACACCATGTAATTACCAGAATAACTCCCTGGGGATAGCCTCAAAGGGTTAGGAAGATTTGATCATGTGATGTCCCCCTCATGAAGTGGAGCACATGCCATGTCAACCCCTTGGGGTTAGCAAAGGCATACAATACATACAAGTCTTTAGAAACATTAATCACATACTCTGTTAAAGTGGAACAACACACAAGTTCAATATACACAAGTATCTTGCAATACAAAGGACATACTTTGGTAGAGTGTTACAATACACAACAAAACACAAAATGACACACCTAACCACAATTATGATCTTTTGGATAATCAACTTTTTTCCCGAACCCTTACAAATAAAATACCAAGGATCCTTTGAAGTGAAGGAGGGTGTATTGAATTAAACTATTATCATATAAGAGAAGCAGATTTTGAAGCAACATTCCACTTTCTTTAGAATATTCAAAGTATTACTGCTGTTATATTGGAAAAAAAATTACCCTAATGACCAGTTATTTGTCCTAAACCACCTTTCCCAGTTTAAAATAGATAAAACTTCCAGTTCATGAGATAAACACCTCCTCTTTTTACCACCAACATACAACGCAGTTTGCCTATTTTCAGTAACCACACATAAGACAAATTTCAGCCTGACCCATTAAAAATGCAATCAGTAATGTCTAAAGATATTTCATCACGGTCTAGTCCACCTGCAGAATGCAGCTTGAACATTTTTCTCCCAACACAAGTCTTAATTTTTTTGATAAGATGCAATCCTTAGATAATTACTGCACATACTCTGCAGCAATAACCCACCAATACAAATTTTTTTAACCTAAGCAAGGTAATATAACTGGAAAATGCGAGTTCAGGTAACAATGACATACACCAAGGCAGGAAGAGGGAGAATACCAGTTGGGGAAATTTTGAGTCGTACAAAAGTTTCATGCTCTGGCTCTTTCCTAAGAATATCAGCTGCAACAGGATCAGGTTGAACACCATGCAGGTCACCAGATACACTATGGGAACGAATCATGCTTGAGGCAGCTATAGGCATCTGCTCTCCATTAGCATTTACATGATCTGGTAGATTCTGAAACAGGGTTTCACAGTCAGGAGCCTGCTCATTTAAGTTTGAACTGCAATTCAGTAAAACGTTGATTTTTTTTTTCTTTGACCAATTGTGAATACATAAGGGCAGGCTCCTTAAAAAGATACATAGCAGAACTGACAAGTAACACCTATTTAAGCAACAGGATAGACACATATACAAGCATGTCCCCAGAGAGAGAGAATAAAAGAGAGTAAGGATTCACTTAAACAACAAACATTCATAGTAAATGAACAACTTACAGAATTTCCATTAGTATGAAGATATGTAGAGTCTAGTTTAGCATTATCAGTCATATTGTCTTCATCATCTGACCCTTCTACACTTTCGAATGCACTGGCACTAGCAACAGGAGACTTGGGAGAAGTGGGTCTAATGAGATGTCCTGGTCTCTTGGTTGAACAAAAAAGGCCAGCAGCTTGCCCTAAAACAAATCAACACAGTTTCTCATTGAGAAAACTCCATCTCACCAGTAACATACAAACACAACTAATGGAAAAAATAAGCATATTATGTTGCACAAAAGCTTGTTTCACAGTAAGCAGGCTACCATGTAATGGAAGCCTTACCATGTGGAAGCTTGTTCCACATAAGTACTTTACCTTAAAAGAGAAGTAGAAAGTAAACCAATAATCTTCAATTCTCAGGATTTACACTTGCTAAGCCATTCATCAGCTGAATAGAATCAATCCCACCACAAGTAAGCCAATTAGGGAGTCCCCACCAATTAGTCAACTACTCCACTCTCCTCAATATATAATATCACACCAGTCACAACAAATTAAATAACAGAAACAATATTTCAACAAATTTCAGAAGATAAGAGGGAACACATAGTAGCAGCTAGTAAGGGACATCACATCAAATGACCAAAACTACAATGTCACCGAAGTATTTTGTAGCAGTTTTCTTATGCAGCATTTCCTACATCAACATGAAAGACAAATAAGAAAATGCAGTGAATGAGAAACACTGCCACAAAGTGAAACTGTTAGTCAGTTGCCTTGCCAAGCATGCAAGTCAATGGAACATTTGACAACTAGGCGCCATTGATTCAAGTCTTGCTAGGCAACATGGATGAAACATAACAATAAGCAGAGTCTGGTAGTAAGAGAAAATTCCAGAAGGGCCAAAACTACAATTCATTGATGGAAGTCATTTGGTATTTTAAATTCCACTATGTTGACAACCTGTTACAATCAAGAAAATAATCCCTCTATCAACATTAATTGCTTACAGATAGATTATTTGACAGAAAAACTGGAAGCTTTTCCCGTAAGCTTGTCTCCCCATTTTAAGTTCTACCAGTGCAAACCAAGGTATGAAGACAACAAGGCATCAATCTAAAAATCCCAAGCCTTCCACAAGTCTACCTATATAATGGCTACAAAATAGGGAATATGAAATGGAGCATTCCCACTTTACACTACTGCACTACTTCATTCCTTTATCGTGCCATTTCACATTAGTCTGCCTTCATAAGCTTATGTTGCTTTCCTCTTTACTTCCCAAGTTAACTTTTTTAAGGCAGGCATCCATCCAGTGAACTACTATTCATCAACATTTCCAGTTATAACACATAACAACATCGCTGTTGTTTAGGTAGGACTTGGAAGTGGCCACTTAAAGTCATGAATTAATTATCTTATGTTATTCCCTAAAAATGTTGATTAAAACAGCAAGGACTCAATGTCTCACATAGGCAATCGTGTAAAAGTAAAGATGAAAAATGGAGCTAGACAAGTAAAATTTTGTTGGAATCACCCAAGCAGAACGCATGTGCTCCACTGAAACACCAGTTAAACTCAACTTTGTGTACATAAGGATATAACAGAAACACCACCCACAATTTCCAACCCATTCACATACTACGCAATTAAAGTAAGCCCATCTTCAGTACATATCTTTAGTAAATAATGCATATACAACTATCCTTTTCTCACACCAAATCCGAATCAGCAACTACTAATTGAAAACATAATTTTTTATTCCACACGAATGCTAATTCCCTGCAACCAAATCATACGATTAAGCTTGTAATTCAATTAGTCTAGTAAAAGTGTGCATAGCTATAACTATCATTGAATTAGGACAATAACAGCTGCTATATAAATTTTTCCAAAATAATCAAATTCTCCTACATTGTTCCACCAAGATAATCAAAAACATCAATTCAGTACAAGTTCATCATTCATTCCGGTGAGAAGTCCGACATTTGCATACCTTCAGGAAGCGTGTGGAGCCTCGGCAAGCCTGCAGGAATCCCATCCACATGAACCGGACCGTTCCTCCTCTCCTCTACGTCAGCAGAAATCGCCGTGACATCCGGCAACGACGCCGAAGCACGCTTGTAATAGCCGTTCGCTTTCCTCCGGCTATGGTTCCGCCGCTTCTCTGCCGCGGCGACACCCTTCTTGAAATGCTGCGGCGAGTCGTCCTCCGCCGCTGCATCGTCTCTCTCTCTTTCTCTCTCCATCGTCTTCGCGAACTCAAGCAACTGATTTAGGGTTTTCCTGTGCATGTAATAGGCCGAGACCGCCACAAAAGAAGCACCGACAAGTGCTGCCATAGCTAGATGCAGAGTATACGATTCCATGACTCTCTCTCTCTCTATCTCCGTATAAATACTACGTATATATATGTATGTGTGCGCATATAAACCCTACTGAACAGTAGAGAGGGCTGTGTTTTATTAGGGAAGAAGTGAGGTGAGCTCAGAGAATTTATAGGGAGGAGAGAGAGGAGGACATATTCGATTGTGCGTTATGTTATGATTCTCATTTTCTCTCTCTCCTATCTCTTTCTCACTCTTCCTTTGATTGTAGTGGTGAGAGAAATCTGAAATGCTGTGGGCGCTGGCTTTGTCTCGTAGCCGCTTTTATTCAGTTAATTAATTATTTATCAGACTATTACACGATGATTCAAATTTTTATTTAAATTTAAATTAATATTTAAATAAAAATTTTAATTTAATATACAAGACTTCAACGGACAAACTCAAATTTAAAAAAGAAGAGACTCAAATTTAAAAGATAATAAGAATAATCATAAATTTTTCAAAGATAATAAAATCTTACCATTAAATATTTGAGTAAAAATTTGAGTTTCCTTTGATTTAAGTAAAAAATTAGTTTTTCCTAATTTGATATAAGTTTGAATTAAGAGTTGAAACAAATTTTTTAGACTATTTTACTTAAATTTAAATTTGAGTAAAGGTTGAAGATGCCCTTAGTTGGGACTATTATTACCTTAAAAATCTTCATTTTTATTTTATTTTATTTTTTATTCTCAAATTATTAAGTTCATCTCTTTTATGTCCACCCCCATTAGTAACTAAGTTCATCCCTTCTATACTCACTCCATTAATAATTATGTTCATCTCATGCTACATACACCTCATTAATAATTAAATTTATTCATTTTATGTACACTATTTTAATAAAAGAAGTCGTTGTAAGGAAAAAAAAGAGAGAAAGAAAACAATTAGTTTGAATGTATAAATATATTTACGAAACAAGTAAAAAAAATCAAGTATGCTGAAACAAGAAAAAAGAAAAGAACGAAATAAGAAAAAAAAAAAAAAGAAATAAGCAAAAAAGAAAGAAAAAAATAAGCAAAAATTAAAGAAAGAAACAAAATTACAAGACGCAAAACGGAATATAAAAAAAAAAGTATCAAGTATAGACACAAAATCGAATAAGAAAAAAATAACAAGTATAGGTACAAAACTTTAATAAGATAAAAAAATAACAAATAATTTGAAATTTATATTTATTTATGCACACATTTAAATTCTAAATAAAAAATTATTAAACTATAAAAAGACATCGAAAACATACCTAAAATAATGAAAATCTATATAACAAACATGAAATCAAATATAGAATTAAATTGACAACTAATACTGGCTTGTATCTCACTGAAAAAATTCATATTGAAAAAATATTTTTGTGAGTGCATAAAAAGAGATAGAGAATGAAACTCTAATTATGACAAAATATAAATCTAATTTATTTATTAAAAGAGATGTATGCAGCATAGGGTGGATTTAGTTATTAATGGGGGTGAGTATAGAAGGAGTGATGTTAATAGTTTGATAATAAAAAATTAAATGAGGTGAGAATAAAGATTTATGAGGGTGGAAATAGCCCCGCCTTTATTTATTTGGCTCTTAATGTGTTGTGTTAGTGTAAATTAATACCTTAAATTATATTTTGTGTCAATTAAATCCTTAAATTATGTAATTTGACTCAATGTAACCCTTTTGTCGAAATTCTCATTAACTTTAACTGAAAGTCTCAAGTCCACTTCACTTGAGTAGGAGATTATGATATAATTCAAGGCTACATAATGTGCATAGGAGGATTTTTATCAAATTTGTGACGAATTGGACAAAAGAGTTTCATCGGATCAGATTAGGCTTGTCAATCATATCTGGTGAGACAAGTTTGTGTCTGGTCTTAGCGGGTTCGTATCAAAAAATATTTTATTCATACCCGATTCATTTATTAATTTGTGTCTAACAAATCGTATCATTTCGAGTTTGTGTCATGTATATATTACGTATAATTAGTATATAAATGAGTCGTATAATATTTTTTTTTATTGGCTTCACTTATTCTCAATTTATTTATTAATTGTATTGTGTGGGATTTACTTATTTAATATTTTTTTTATTCTCTCTCTCCCTCTACCCGCTCTTGAACCCACAACTAAGTAGTTGAAATTTGAGGTCCACAACCATCGAGCGAGAATGAAGGCCGGTCACTTATTTAATAAAATGAGTGAATTATAAGGAAGACTTAAACCCTGATATAGTTTACGACCTAAATAAGTAGTTAACTTTTAATTATTATATTTCTATCATTAATCAACAAAATTATTAATTTTTTTCTAATAATTCATGATTTACTTTATAAAAATTGGTAGATTGATCAACAAAATAGTACTAAAAATAATAATATTCAAATGATATAATTATATTTTTATCTCATTTTATTTATTTAAATTCTAAATTTTGCTCATCATACCCACGATATCTTATTTTTTGTGTTCTCCTTCTAACAATGTTAAATTATTTTATATTTATTTGAAAAGGTAGTTCCCCACCTAAATTTTATTTTCGATAAGTCCCCATTCAAAAAATAATTCTTCTTTTTTTTTTTTTGTTTTCTTCTTCTAACAATGTTGAATTATTTTTATATTATTTGAATACATAATTCCCCACATAAATTTTATTTTCGATACGGCCCCATTCAAAAAATAATTCATGAGTAATAATGACATTTTTGGGTAGGGCCATTATTGGTAACGTGCCACCTACATTACCTGCCTAAGGGAATTTATTTGTGTTTTTTTTTTTATGTGGATTGTATTTATGGTGAAAAATTAATTCTAAGAGATTATTATAGTCTTTAAATTTGATAGTTTCAGTTATATTTCTTCATGCTAGTAATCAATTTAACCCTATGTTACTTGCATAATGGAATTAATTTTCATTTTTCATGAGAATTGTTCACATGGTGAAGATTATAGCTGTTAATATCTAGAGCAAAACTATAGAGACATAATTCAATGTAACTATTAGATTAATTATAAGTTTTAATGTTATATGGAACGTACTTTTCAATTTAATGATTGCATTGAATTAGGTCCTTAGATAAGGTCAAAATATTTGTTGAAAAATTTTCAATTGACACTAAGTTTATTAATCGTGCCGGGTGAGGCAGGTTCGTGTCGAGTCTTAAAGGTTTTGTGTTAAAAAATAATTCACTTATACTCGATTCATTTACTAATTTATGTAAAGAATAATGTCATATCGAATTTGTGTCGTATATAAATTATATATAATTGATATATAAACGAATCGTGTCGTGTATTTTTTTTAATTACCTTAATTCGTATTCGATTCTTTTATTAATCGTGTTGTGTCAATTTCATGCATTTACCAAATGGTAAACGGTTGGTTTAAGAAAGACCAAACCCCTCTAATTTTGTATCGTGTAAACAGATCGTATCATATTTTAACACACTTACTTTATACTGTGTTTCAATTATTTCATATAGATAATCAATTTTAGTCTTGGTACAATAATATCTTAAATTTTAAATTCAATATTTATTAACAATAATACAAGAAATAAAAAGCAAAAAATTACAGTTAAAGATAGTAAAACGTTGATAAGAAAAAAACACTACAATTTTCCTTTTTTTATTTTGTGTTAAGTAATGTCTTCATCGAGATGGTTCATATAACAATTGTGAAACAAAGATAGATATTAACAACATCTTACCAAAAAATATCCTATCATAGGAAAAAAGACACAGCTTAGCTATCAAAGATGTATCATATTTTAGTCAAAGATAGGGAAGAGAGGGAGAGAAACTTGTGAGTTGGATTGATAATCGAGTTGAGTTTGTCTCGTTTTAAGTTTAAAATGAGTCGAACCCGAGCATGAATAGCTCGATTATTTTACAAATAAATGAGTCGAATTTTGCGAGTTGAGTCGAGTCTTTTAGGCTCATTTTTTTAAATAAATCTAAAAAATTGTCCAACTCAATTTATTTCAAACCAAAACCAAGACAAAAAAAAATTGAACATGAGCCGAGTCCAAATAATTCAACTTTATTATTAGCGTTACTTATGGGGATGCATAAATTAGAGAGGTGAGAGAGAAAAACTAGACGTGATTTAAGATTTTATTTTTTATTTTTTTGAGTGACATTTTAACTTGGATTACTTATAATTAATACAATTATTAGTTAAAAAATAAAAATTAAAGTAACCGTGAATACGAGATCCAATTGTGAAGGAGAACATAAAATTTCTTTGAAAATGAGGAATAATCACTTAAGAGATTTTTGAAGGGTTAATAAAATACCCTAAAATATATATCGATGATGCACAAAATAGTCTTGTGCAAAATCAACAGTCAAGTGTGTAATAAGGTGTAATTAATAGACAATAAATAAAACAATCAATAACAGTAATGTAAATATTGAGTCAACACACATATATATATAGTGGTTCGGTCTAAGTGACGTACTCCACTATGAAAAACTATAACGGTGGTGGAGGCCTTTATTGATGAATAAAATAAGAGAGAGAAAGCTCCAGAAAATGTACAATAGCTAGGAGAAAAAATTGTGTGCAGAGAGGTGTAGAGGTAGAGCTCAATGTGTCATCTCATGTAGAGAGGACTTACAATTTATAAGTATAGAACTTTGGTTGAGACGGTGACGTGAGGGTGAAGGTACTAGATCTTTGGGGAGGATAACTACAAAATGTAAGTACAATTAAGGTAGTCTTGATCCTCGAGGGTGTGTATCCTGATGACTCCTCCCTACGTGTTCTAATTATTCTTAGACTCTTTGATCTACCTTTTAGTTGACTTGAGCATACTTGATTTATTGGGCCTGACTCAGTTAGATTTGAACTCATCATATATTACTAAAGGTACTATGCGCATGAACGCAAGATATTACGGAAGTGAGAAATAATAGATTTTTAGAGAAATATTGAGAGATGTTGGTGGCTATTCGATAAATCTATTTGAGGCTTGAATCAACTTATTAAAATCTATTTTATTTTTTATTATAAATTGCAATAATTAGTACGAAATGACATAGGTTTCACAAATAATTTTTTTTTTTGATTAATTTAGTTAATAACGTGAGAAGTGGAACCTCGTCGGTTAGAGTGTGGGCCAGAATCCGCACCTAGAGGCTAGTGGTAGGGCTTGGGCTCGGGGGACCTAGGAATAAGAGTGCGATGCGAAGTCCTTTTCGTTATCCATTTGAATGAAAAATGTGTTGTGAATGTGCATCACA